GCAGAGAGGCAAGGGCAGGTCAAAGAGATGCGCGCTGATAGAGGAGAGGCGTATTTAAAATAATGGAGGGAGAGAAGTTAAGGTAAGAGGTAAAGGCTCCTGAAGTCCATGTTGATACTATGACAGGTTCACTGGGTGACAGGATGCACTTGTTCTGCAAATGGATATACAAATGTGATAGAACAATATAGCCTTTCTAAAAATGCCTTTTATACAGTCATTAACCAGGTAATGTGTCATTGGTGTACATCCATGTCAGGGCAGACTCAGTGTATGTAGTGAAGACTCTTGAAGAGATACAATAAAATGTATTTTGTGTATTTTGTCATAGTGACCAAATTCTAATCAGTTCATTCAGTTATGGCAAATATAGAGGTTTTCTCATGATGTTTCGGAGACACACACGTTTGTGTGAACAACTTGTCGACGCATAATAAGTTGTTAAGAGGGTGAGAGAGTTAATATAAGGACAAGTTGAAGACCAAAGGTGGAAGAAAGGTGACATCAGGCTAAAGTCAGGAGGAAATGTAGTAAAAACAAAGTTGCCAGGTGAGGTGGGATGAGATGCTTTGAAACAAGGGCAAAAACAACAAAGCCATTATCAAGCAAGATGCCAGGAAACATGATCTTCAGCTGGGCCTGGTGTGTGCTGGGAGCCAGGGCGGACCAGCGTCTGGGTGGAGACAGGCTAACATCAAGGTTAGCCATGTGTGCTAATGTGGCTGACAAGCGTCCCTTCCATATGCACACTCTGGCTAATGGCAAATGCGTTAGCCCTATACACACCCCCACACACACACACACACACAGATGGACACACCAGCCGTCGAGCCCACCAAATGCCTTTTGCTTGAATTCACATGCAAATTTGCACGTCTCTATGTGTGTGTGTATGTGTGTGTGTGTGTGTGTGTGTGTGTGTGTGTGTGTGTGTGAAATGCTCAAGCACTTCGGCAGACATGATCTGCCATTAGCATCAAGGCGGATTTCAATAATTCTGAAAAAAAACAGAGTCCTGTAATTTTCCCCCCTCTCATTTCTCACTGACGTGGATGTGTGCAAGGGGTGGTGCGGCGGGGGTGGGGGTTGAGAGAATGACACGTTCGTAGACAGATCAGGGGGAGAGAGGGTCAGGTAGAGAGACGGAGAGAGCGAAGGAAGGGGAGGAGAGGAGAGGCGAGGACAGACAAGGGAAACATTTTGCCTGTCATTGTGTGCAAAAAGCAGCGCTGCAAAACTGATAGTAATTGGGTCTTCGATGGGCTGAAGGAAACCCACCGTAGCATTCAGGAAATGGCTCGCTAATGTGGTTTGAGGGAGGGAGAGAGACAGATTGTGACAGAGTTGGCCGCACACACACACACCCACACACCTTTTTAAGTTCAAGCCTAATCTCTTCATCTGAGGAAAAAGTTGTGAAGTTGTGAAGAGTTACAAAAAAAAACTGCAACCAGCCCATTCATGTTTGTCACTCCACTAGTGATAAACAAAAGCAGATTAAACCATGAATGGAAATATTAACTAGCTGGCTCCTGACAGTAACTTACCCTCCACTCTGTCATTCTTGGAGAGCGCCTTGACCAGTGCAATGTATTTACTGGAATCCAGCACTACTGATGAGTCCTTACGACTCCTGAAGACAGACAGAGACAGAGACAGAGGGTGAGAGTGATTAGATTAATGAATTCCACTTGTGATGCAACTCCTCTATTGTACATTCTCCTGTTGGAGCTGAAACCAGGTGTTGAGTAAAGAGACAAACATGACATGAGGAGGGGGAGAGTTTCCTGTGTTATAGGGAGTCAACAGAAGGGCTGGTCACTACATTAATGTCTCCCCTAATACCACTCAAGTTAAACTTTAATGTCCTACTTAGAGATTTCGTATGCATGTTTTCTGCTCCACTCACAGTTCCCTCTTTAGGTGGAGCGCCTCCTCCACATTTCCTTGGCGACAGCACAGGTTGATTAGGGTGGCGTAGCTACCAACAATCATCATCTCCTCATGCTGCTGCTTCAGCTCGAGGGCGCGCTGCAGGTTCTGATCAGACAATGGGAACATTGCATTGGTAAACAAGAAGGAGAAACCACTTGTTTGAGACGGAGCGATCCCAAAAAAATCCTACCTCCTCGGCACAGAGAGCTTGGATGGTCTGTTTGAGAATGGTGCCCAATGGTTTGTTCTCTGCTTTCAGTTCAGCTAATTTATTCTCAAGCGCCAACACCTTACCCTCAATAACCTGATGGAGACAGAGACAGTGTACATGATCAAACACATTCTATTGATTATCAGTAAATGGTGTATAGAGCTCTTCTAGTCTTAATCACCACTCAAGAGCACTTTAAGTACAGTTGCCATTCACACAGTGCATCTAAGTGCAGCTCTATCACACTCTCAGCCTGTCCTACTTACAGTAAAACGGGGAGCAGCTGACACAGAGCCACGTTCGTCTTTGGGTTCCACCAGCGCCATCACATCCTAAAACACACACACACACACACACACACACACACACACACAGAAAGCAAAAGTATTACAAATACACCCTCCGTTTGTCATATTTTGGCTTTGGTTGTTGATTTTGTCTGAAAGCTGTTCTAGGAAACATTTGGACCGTGGGAGGACGGGCTCTGTACCTTGATGAGCTCTGGGACATTATAAGACTCCAGCACGTTCTTGATACCTTTGTAGATGTTTAGTGGAATTTTTATATTCTGCAAAGAGACAAGAGGAAGAAAATCAGCATCGTGAAAGTGCCATCATCTCTCAGAACAGCTGGAGCACAACTTGTCGGACTTGGTGCGTTGAGAGATCAGCAGATGAACACTATGAACACAAGTGTTGCTTAGTATGGCAGGCGGATTGAGTGGTGGACCTTATATAAACCAAAGCTGAAACACTGGCTCCAATTCTCCACACGTCACAATAATTTGCTTTTGGTTTTTTTTTTTTAATTATTGAAGGGAAAATATGAACATCTGAAGATGCTACCTAGTGATCAGCATTTTTCACAACTTTCTGGCATTTTTGGAGGAAAAAATAATCAATGAACTGAAATCTGAATCAAGGTCATTCAAATGTAGTTTCATAGGGCCACTGTAGGGCCATTCAAGTTTGAAGATAATTTCTTCAAGAGCGACGCTGCTGTGACTGCAAAACGGTTCCACGCCGGACCAGGAAACTGTTTCACTGAACTCCAAATGGCCATTTCAGACGTGACCTTTAACCAAAAAGTGTAAAATACGATTTAATCTTAACATGTCTCCATGGCCCGACTCAAACCTTCACTCTTCAGAAATAGAGCAAGAGGAGGGCGTGTGTGTGTGTGTGTGTGTGTGTGTGTGTGTGCGTGCTGTGAATAATCCACATCTGATTACACACTGCAAATCGTTTTAGACCAGAATGTGTAAGCTTCTTTAGCGTGGTAAGGTCATGAATGGACTGGATATATAATAAATATATGTGTGAGTGGTGTATCATGTGTGTGTCTGTCAGTCAACTTTTCATTGTGTGTGTGTTTGTGTGTGTACCTGAGCATGTAGCTGATTTAAATATTTCCGCAGTTTTTCTTCCTGTGCCTGCACTATGCCCTCTGTCCTGGAGTCGAACAGATTGTACAAGAAGTAGGATGTTTCTTCTGGATGGGAGGAAAACACACACACACACACACAGGAGAGAGAGAGGTAGAGTGAGTGAGGAGTTGTCTTGGGAATAAATTTAATTTGCCACTGTGTCAGTCACTGAATCCATTTGTGCATTTATATTATTTTCCTGTAATCTCTGCAGAGTGTGTGTTTGTGTCTCTTTTCTGCTGACAGAGGCTGCTTTCGGCTGGAGTGTGAGTGAATGTGCGACGGCTGGTAGTGACAGGCTCCCCTTACTTCAACTCACTCACCCACACACACACACAGAGAGAGACAATCGCAGATGTCGTCTAAAAGGATGTGACATGGATAACAGTCTCCATCGCTCCCACCAGCACACACCAGTTTCAGCGGTGGGGACTTTCTGTGACACGCATACTGACACAGAGTGACATTAACACTCCACACACACACACTCAC